TTTTTTTTTTTTTTTTATATATATTTATATATATTTATATATATATATATATATATATATATATATATATATATATATATATATATATATATATAAAGAACTAAAATAAAATAAAATTAATTAATTAATTAAAAAACAAAATGAAATGCAAACTAAAAAATAAAAATATGAATTAAAATAATAAAGTAAAATATCAAATAAAATAAAATGTAAAAATAAAAAATAAAGATAAAAATAAAATTTAATAAAATATAAATGTAAATGTAAAAAAAATAATGCAAAAAATACTAAATTATTTTAAAAATTATATAAAAATAAAATGAATAAAATAAAATAAAATGAAAAAAATAATTATAATAAATGAATGAAAGAATGAACAAACAAACAAACAAACAATATATATATATAATTTAGCAATATAAAGGGGTATAAAATATATATAAAAAATATATTTTAAAAAAGAAAAAAAAAAATCACAGGAGGGTTAATCATTTTCTAATATGAAAAATGTCCTTGCTCCTATAAACAGCATTTTCACCGGAAGGCTAATAATTTTGTCTTCAACCGTATGCTGCATTTTCAATCCTTAATGCATCATGCTTTCCTGTAGCTCAAACAGTATGAACACATCCTTGACATGCCTATAATTACCAAGCAGGAATGAATCAGGGTGGTTTGGTGAGGATAAAAACAGCTATTTTTAAAAAAAAAATGTGAAAATGAAAAATGAAATGTGATGACAGGCTGCATGCTGTCGGAGAGACACATGTGAAGGAAACAGTAGATAATAGCAAGAGCTTGAATATCAGGGATGGGATGTAGACTGTTTGGTTCAAATCTTCGAAATGCATGGAGGTTTAACGTATTTGCTTGTGCACTTTTAGAGGTAAAACGACTGAAACACACACAATTAATAATGCATTAAATGTACATGTTGCAATTAAAGGCATTCCTGGAGTTGTATGTCATGGTACAGTATTTATTTTATTTATTTATTGTTGTAGTTGTCTGTTTACCTTCAAGCTCTGCTTCCTTCACTTGCTTGACGAGTCGCGTGTGCCAGTGAAGGAGTCGGTGTGCGGCGCGCCAGCACACACACATATCATGTACATCTCGACATGAGAAAGTGTTTCTCTATATGTTTTCATCAAAGTTGTTTACTTTAGTGAATACTGATTCATCCACAGAGTTTGTAATGTAATCATTCATTCATTCATTGTCTTGTTGGCTTAGTCCCTTTATTAATCCGTGGTCGCCACAGCGGAATGAACCGCCAACTTATCCAGTAAGTTTTTTACGCAGCGGATGCCCTTCCAGCTGCAACCCATTTTTTGGAAATGTAATGTAATCAAACGTTTATAAATACAAGTGCAGCCGTTTAGAGCTCATTTCTGGTTAATGATGTCAGAATTTACCGCTATTTTGGAATGAATGTGTAAATGGTCTTTTCTGGAAAAATTTCGTAACGTCCTCGCCTGTGTGAACAGAACTTTTTAAAATTTACCGGTAAAGTCGTTCTGTAAATTTTCCGGATATTTTCCGGATATTCACTGTGTGAAACGGGCTTGTAGCTTAAACAATAGGTTGTTTGTTCAATACCATAGATATATACATTAGATGTCGCCTGGCCTATTGTTGTCTATTGGACGGAATGCGTCAATAGCGCCGCCATCTTGCTACAGGGTAGCGCTCCTTTGAAATGAATGCGGGACCAAAGTACAGTGGAGGACTGTGGCCAGAAATATACACAAAGCCAGAGATATACACATATACACATATATCTATGACCAGGAGTTTTCCTGGATGTTAATATGTATTTTTTTTTTCTAATTACGAAAATTATAATTTTACATCACTTTTCTACATTGATGAATCAGTGACCGCACGGGCATTCCTGACAAAAAGCTTGTGTTTGTGTGTACAGAAATGTACTATTCACCCTACCTGTTAAATCTAATCTAATCCATGTCCTGAAACACACCTCCTCTAATGCTTTCACTGCTCATACTGACGGAGGGAGCGATTCGTTTGTGAATGAATCCCCCGAACGACTCTTTCACTAACGCGTTAGCCAACAATAGTACAAGTTTCTGGCAGCGCAGCATCTCGTTGTCATATTTCTTTTGCATTGTTTGCTGATTTTATTCAACAAAACTAGCATAAGCCGAGTGTTTAGTGCGAGTTGGAGCTGCTTTGCTGTATGGTGAATGCAGTAAGTGACTGTTATTATCATCAATAACGTTACCTGATTAGCACAAAAGTTCAGAACATACAAAAACAGAAAAAACATAATATTACCTATGAAATGTTCTGCCTTTGTGCTTTGTTTTCTTTGTTTGCTCGTTACTACACCCGTAGACAGCGCTAAAGTCCCGCATCTTCACGTAATAACACTGTCTTGAATAGTGCGGTTAAATGACATTTGTCCTGGGAGCACTGTACCAAGGTGGCGGTGCTATTGACGCATGCTCAGGGTCCCTATGCGATATCTAGTGTATATATCTATGGTTCAATACCTAGAGCATGCATGATACTGATAAAGTGTAAGACTTTAATGCAATGCAAATCACTCTGGATGAAAGCCTCTGCATAAATGTTTTAGTTCACGTCCATATATTAAGATCACAGTATATTTAAGCACTGACTTGACTCTAAATGCATAAAACATACCAACAACTCCATTTATGCTGCATCACAATTCATATTGCAATATGTCATATTCTCGTCATATACATATAATGTAACACAATCCTGTAGCTCGTAAAGTACAGTATGCCATGGGTTTAATTCTCTGAAACGCATGAGCTCATAAAGTGAATGCAAAGCATGATATTGTTGGATAAATATTTAAGTTTCTTTGCACATTTAGAGTCGAGCTGTTTTACACACTATGTGCTGGGTTCCTAAAAGTTGAAACATGCTTTCTGCATGGTTGCATTCTGAAATGTGCCACAATCACAATTCATAATGCAATACGTGAACATGTTGCAGTCTCAATTTTTAATGCAACAGGCATTCTAGCTGCTGAGTTTGATTCCAGAGGAATGCATGGACTGATAAAGCATTACATGTCGGATTGAAGTATCTGTCAAATGCAGGAATGTTTACTCGATGTGCACACGTTGAAAAACAAATGCAGTTGAGAGCGAAATAATTAGCCCTCCTGTGCAATATTTATTCTTTTTAAATTATCTCTCAAGTGATATTTAATGGATTATGGAATTTTTCACAGTATTTCCTATAATATTTTTTCTTCTGGAGAAAGTCCTCTTTGCTTTACTTCGGCTTGAATATATACATTTTTTTATTTTTTTTAATAAACATTTTAAGGTCAATATTATTAGTCCCTTTAAGCAATATTTATTTTCGATTGTCAAATGAACAAACCATCGTTATTTAATCTGTAATGACCCTAATTAAGCTAGTTAAGCCCTTAAATGTCACTTTAAGCTGAATACTTGAATATTAATGAGTATCTTGAATAATATCAAGTCAAACAATATGCGCTGTCATCATGGCAAAGATAAAATAAATAAATTATTAGAAATGAGTTATTAAAACTATAATGGTAAAAAATGTGTTCTCTCCGTTAAACAGAAATCTATTCTAACTCAAAAAAAAAAAAAAAAATATCAGAAGAGCTAATAATTCTGACATCAGCTGTATATACTACAGATACATGGACACTGTAGCATTTTAAAACCGTCAAGATCAACTGGTCTGTTTATAAACTAACATAAGAGCGATCCGCTGATGAATTGACTGATCTTCGCAGCTTTAAAATGCTCCAGTGTCTTTGTATCTGTGTTTAGACTCAGTAAACAGTGGTGAGCTTGGTGAACTAATGACCTTCACGGCCAATCACAGTCACTTCTGTTGAGCAAGCGAACACAATGGCTAATCA